TATATATATATATATATTAATCTACAATCAGCCAAACCAGTGCAAAAAAATTAGATCTTTAAAGTTATGCAAATATGTAATAATAAGCAATAAAAATTGGGAGAAACTTACATGTTCCTAAACCATCACCGAAGCTGCAGAGGCCAACAGACCAGCTTGATTTACTCATCTCTACTTCTCCCAAGATATATTAGTCTGTAGATTTCTTCTTGTGGCCATGCTCTACATGGATAGTCAGTATATATAATGGGATAAATGCGAAATGTTCATCAAATAAAATTAAAAAAAATAAAGGTTTGTTGGAAGTATTATAATATAAAATATAATAGCTCTTGATAACGTAACATACCGGTTGAAAATAAAATAAATAATTTCAGAGTGCTCGGTTCAAATGCTCGGCAATACTCGAACATGTTAGGCTTTAACCAGAAAACCTTTTGGTTGCAGATAAAGGACCCGATCACTAGGCCACATCGAACGCATTTGGAGTGGAATATATATGGATTAGGTTTGGGTTGTTATTTTAGTTATGATCCTACTTAAGCCATACTAACTTCTAAAATGTCTACCATATAAGATTTGGAACAATTTTGTCATAAGAGATTATAGTTGCGCACAATGACTTTGGCTACCGCTTACAATACCAAATTTCTAAATAAGTAAATATGCATTCCAAGACGACGATGGTGAACACATCTAAGTTAGAGTGGATGCTTGATTGAGTCTTAGCAGCACTCGCTCAAGATCGGACAACACTCGCTTGCAGCTCAGAGGCACTCCCTCAATCGCGAGTGACTCGCCCAACTCGGTTGTACTCATCCTCTCCCGGATTACACTAGCCTAGAACACAAAAAAGTCGATTTAGAATAATTCAATTAAGTGATAATAGACATAAAAAATTCGTGCCCCGTTCATTTTCACAATAAGATGAAAGAGTTTTACCTGATCAAATTTTCAAAAAACAAATAATATTGATGATAAGACACCGTCCAAAGATCTCATTTTTATTTTACAAGGATTTTGAATCTGGGTTCGAAGTTTCTGACATGCAGAAGCCCATATAATTAATTATCCCTCCTGATAATTAGATAGTACTTTTTTTTATTAAGACCATATGATAGCTATAAATTTATATTTTAGCTGATAAAATTTTATCATTGCGAACTCATAGAGGATGGTAAGGGGATGATCCCGAACCCGATTAAGATCATATGATTACGTCGTCCCGAGTTATCACGATTGTTAGTCCACTTAATTAAAAAATAATAATCGACCTAATCTAACTTAAGAACTCACAAAAGACATAAATTACGTTGTTAAGTTTCCTTACGTTGTTAAGAGGAAACTTGCAGACCCGAGATGAGCTCGGAGACATTTATCTTATGATTTAGTCGCTAATTACGAATTAGTCGCTAATTACTTTCAAGGAATATAATTATTTCAGCATTTAAAAATTCAAACTAAACAAAAACATCGTCCTTTCAATGTGAAACCACGCTTTGATGGGCTTAGTGTAAATATCACAGCAAAAAATATATATTTATTTTAAAAAATAGTTGATGAATGACATAATTTCTATTTATATTAAAAATATTTCATGTCGCACGTATGTGATGTATATTCTTTTTTTTTTCTATTTATAGTGCATAATTTTATCAGATAAAAATAAATGAATTTAAGTACTAAATATTTTTTTTTCTGTTTATAGTATATATATTTATATCATATTAATTACAGGAATTAAATAAAAATTAAATACATAAAACCCAATTGTTATTCTCCAACAAAAATATAAAATTATAATTAAACAAATTAATTATTGTAAGCATCTTTAAATTATATGGAGGGCATTGAGCAAAATTAGTAACTATTTAAACTTCACATTCGTGGATAAATGCGTCTCAACCATTGAATCGAGTCCCAACAACAAATTAAAACCATAACTACTCGACCAACTCGATCCGAACGTGACTCAAAAAATCAGGGTTTTATTTGACTGCCAACCCGAAATCGATCCTCCAACTAAGAATAGTTGAAATGTCTTATGTTAAACAGGTCATACGGGCCCCATTCGGGACAACGAATTCAAGACGGGATGGGTTTGTTTAACATTCGAGTCAGGTTTGGGTCAAACAGTTTATATTCAGGTTAATTTTGAGTCCTATTAGCCCTCAACTCTTCCACAACTATATCATTCCCATCAAAGTTATTTAATTTTTTTTTGTTTTTTTTAATTTCACCAACAAACTCGTATGAACTCAAAATATTATGATTATGGACAAAACACTCATCCAATAAGCTAAATAAACTGCATAATCATGTCATATATACCACCACATGCATATTATATGCTTCAGCATGGCATGAGTTGATATGCTTCAGCGTGGACTCATCGTCTGAAAGCATGTTTGGTACATGGAGCCAGTCGTTGGCACATCCAAAGTATAATAAGGACAATTTTGCCGGCCATTTTGTTCATGAGTTCCCATATTAAAGTTTCTTTTTTTTTTTATAGGGTACGTAGAGAAGGGGTTAGATGTTGCGAAAACTTAAAATAGTTCGATAAGGTTTTTTTCTTTTTCTTTTCAGGAAAGACGAGTTTGAAAGCTAATATGCATAATTCGACTCTGCGACCTCACAGTAAGAGGTTACATCCTCAACCACTATGTCACGGATAATAACATGATAATTCAATAAAACTTTGAATCCATGTCCTCTTGATTGAAAGGCTAAGCTCACAAGAGCAAAATGGCTTTGCATACAAGCCCAATGTCTTGATGGGATTAGGGTTAATTTTGACAATTTTGAATTTTGGATAAATTAGCAAACTTGGCTTAGATGACAAAGTATTGTGATGAAATGCAAATCCTGCTTCATATGTAAATTTGGCTTAGATGCCAAACAATTTTTGAAGCCATTTTCATGTATACATTTTACTTGGATTGAAAAACTAGTGTTGTATGATTATATATGAAACATTGGATGTTATATATAATTTCATAAAAATTTGGTGGGATGCATGTAAATCTTGCTTCATACCAACTGACATTCTTCGAGTCACTGATATGATAGAAGGGATATTTCTATATTTAATTTCTTTAGTCAACATATTTTTAATCTTATTGTTGAAATAGGTCATTAAGGCAAGATATTTGATGTGTCAACAATAAATAATACGTATATATAAAGTATGAATCTCGATGTATTTTTTAATAAGAAATATTTCAAATTCAAATTCAAGATCAGCGAAGCCTAGATTTCAATAAGTTTATGGTCACTCCGTCCAACTCAACTAGACAAAACCAGTGATATTAAAATTGGTCCAATCTGATTCCGATCGAGCCCAAATCAAGTTGTGTAACAATTTGAAATTTTGGATCGTGCATTGAATTGTCAAATGAACTCCAAATTTGACATATTTATAGTCAAATTAACTGTCTCTACGAGAGGAATCCAACGAGCCTAATATTACTCAATTTCAAGAAGGCTCATAATCGTTAAAAAACCACTATGATCAAATGAGATCTAATCAAGTGGTTGGGGTAGTTATTTGCCAAAAGACCAATATGCATCTCCCAAATCGCCTATAAATAGACTTCATCTTTTCACTTGTGTTTTCATTCCTTTTTTTTTTTTTAATTTTGAAGGAGTCGCCAGCTTGTCTTATTATCTTCATATACTTTCCTTTTCTTGATAAGTCTCTCTTCTGGATCATGTGAATGATCAGAAAAAAAGAGGTACCGGAAAAGACATACATACAACAAAGACAACCGACAAGAGAAAGAAAACGTGAAGAGCATATGCGCGATAAACATCACAAGAATAGATCAAGTATGTCTACCCAAGCAAGATAGAGTGAAAGCACCCTGGAAAAATTTCCGTGAAAGAATACCAATGTAGACTACCCACAACCAGAGATTTAGGAGTTTGCCTGTTCTGAGGTCTAGGGTGCTCCCAAGGGGATGCATCCCACTTGGTTAATTACATCTTGGGGGTCGTGTAAGAAGATTCGAGGAGTCTCAAAAGGAGATCCTTTGAATTTTATAAGAGATTCGACAACCGACGGTAATGCATATTGGAGAAGTGCAGTTATCTCAACATTTGTTACCTAGAGGTACACAGTTAGATGATTCTTATGGTTTTGAAGTGATCAACGTGTTCATACATATCAGACATCCCATCATAAGCATCAACTCTTGGAAGCTTAAATCATTTTGGAATAAGGTGTTGAAGAACAACCTCAACTAAAGGGAAAGACTCTTGAGAACTATGTCGAGCTGAGAAATGGCTTATTCCCTTCACAGAAAACCCTTCACAAACTAGACATCGTAACTCATCATAGATTGTGTTAGGTCGAGTTACATTCTCCACATATATTGGAGGCTTGCTGCTATGCTCGATTATGAAGGTGGATGTGTATAGCTACCAATGTCTAGGAGTTCAACTTCCTAAAGATGAACTTTTGTGCATGGAGAGAGTGTCAACTGTGCACCTCTGGTCAATAGATTTTGAGTTAGTTGTGTCCCTCCAACATGCCCAACTGTCGGTTGATGAGCTCTACATAAAAGTCAAGAGTGTTCATTTTAAGACTCTTTCATCCATCAAACACGATCTTCATGTGTTGCTAAAGAGGTTCTTTCACCAATAGGATGATATGTATCATTGTAAAATGGAGTATAGACTTGACGTCCCATATTTTAAGGTTGAACCCAAGATTAATGGGTGATAAAGCAAGAATCTTGTGTGTTACACTTGTTAGCCATCGATGAAGTGTAGACTTCTATCAAAGGGACTTTGTTTCCCACATACAGCGCCAAACTATTACATGTCAAAAGATTTAAGAGGTAGAGTGATATATTAGCATCTAAACTTTGTACGAAATCCAACACAAATACATATAATATAGAAATAGTGGGAGAAAGCACAATGACCTTTTACGTGGAAAAACTCATAGAGGGAAAGAACCATTGTGATTTGCCTAGCCAAATAATTCACTATAATTTTGTAAGTACAAAGATTGACCCTTGTTCCACAAAGACTGTTAGTACAAAATTTAAGAAAAAAAATTAAGAGTTACGAGAAAGTCGTCGCAGTCTGAATACAGCGATTATAAGTGTTTGCAACTAAGAGTTATTGTCGAGTTTTCAATTTACTGTGTTTGGGATATATCGTTGCATAGTATTCATGATGAATCATTATCCTGTACTCGAGATACTTTCTTACCTCATACTCAAGATACTTCATTATTTTATATTCATAATACTTCAATACTTAATATCCAAGATAAGTCACACAACAAAATTTACCGATGAAAGTGAGCAGGGGACGACCAACGGTGTTCAATGGCAACCAACAGGCGGTGGTTACAGAGGATGGAAGTTACTCCGAGCCTCCAGACCATAAAAAACAGTGAAATTTGACTCATTCTCCTCTCTCTCTCTCCAAATAAAAAGAGAGGGTCTATTTATAGGCTCTAAGGTAGGGGTATTATAGTCATTTGGAGAGTAATTTCCCCAACCATTTAATCGGAAGAACCATATTTATTTCTCTTGATCATATAGGATTTCTTAATGACTTGATGACCTTAAGGATCTCAGAATTAAGAGAGCTTAGACTTTTTGAATTACTCTTGTCGAGGCACTTGATTTGATTACATATATGTCAAATTTGAAATTCATTTGACCCTTCAATTAACTATCCAAAACCTCCAAATATGGTTCAATGACTTGATGGACTCCAATCAAACCAATTTTGACTTTCATTGGGTTCGTCTTACCTAGACAATCAATTTCCATTATAAACTTGTCGGAATCCAGCTCCTGCTTGATCTTAAATTTGAATCTAAAATATTCATCATTCAAAAACGCTTCAAAATTCATGTCAAAAGATAAAAATTTGCTAACGACGCGTTAATATGTATGAATCTTATAGATACAAACTGTGTTGCTCCTACTAAAATTGAAATAAAATAAACATATACCAAAATTTTCAAAAAATGCCAAACAGCTAATCTCAATATCTCATTATCAGCTAATTTGAACTTTGAAGGTGTCAAGAGTAATGAGCAACACATGGAGCGGACCTTGTAAGCCTGGTAACTGGTAAGGTATATTTTCCATCCTGTACAAGTCAATTAATTGGACCTTATATTATTTTGACTTTGTAATAGGTACATTAGATAAACGATTTTTATGAAGAAAAATGAATTTGATGACCATCCATCAATGGAGTCAGCAGAACGTCAGTTGCACGAAAGTCCGGGAAAGTGGGAACTGATCTTATGAAGGAATATTCAAGAGGTATAACAAATTGCCAATTAAATTTGGAAAGATAATTTCTTATTTATAGATAATGTTTTCTAAATTGCATCAAGATTATATGTAAGATTTGGTTGTTCGGATGTGATACTCATCAACAAAATTTATCAATCAACTCAAATCTTGAGGCTGTCAACACGGATCTCGGTGCTTCTTTTGAACAGAGAAATATTCAAATTCAGATAAAAAAACCATCCAGAACCGAATCGATGAGATGAAAACAATGACATCAAAGTTAGTACAATACAAGTGAAGTCAAGCCCAGATCGAGCCATTTAAAGCTTCTAGTACGCAATTTGGAGGTCAAACGAACTTTAGATTTGACGTGATTATGGTCAAATCAAACGTCTCAATGAAACGAATCCAACGAGTATAAGATCACTCAATTCTAACACTATTAAGGCACTCAAATGTCTTCAAAATATTGTCCGATCAAGAGGATCTCTCTAGGTCGTCTGATAGTAGTACAAGTTCTTTTCTAATTTGTGTGGAGGTCTCTTTTAGACTCTATAAATAGAGCCCAATTCCCTTCGTGAAAGGGGGCGTAGACCTTAAACAAGATGAAGCCCGGGACTTGGAGGAGAATGAGCTAAGGTCCGGTATTTCACACAGAATGACCAACGAGCATCACCCGCCCCTATAACTGTCAACCACCGTCAACCATCGTTCATCAGCCTCCATCAACCACCGCTTGCCGCCCCCTGCTCATTTCAACAAAGCCCCTTATGGAATCACAATGTGCTCTACAGAATCCCAGCGTACATTGTTGAGTAACAAAGCATAATACAGAGCATTGCAATAATGCACCCTAAAGACAAGGTAAGGATGCAACCAAAAAATGCTGCAACTCATCCTGTATATTGTGAAATTAAGCATCATGAATAATGTGCCATGATGTCTCAAAGGTGGTGCAACGCGCACCACAAATACGGTGCATTGATGTGTCTCAACGTACGTTGTAGAGTAACAAAGCATAATACAAAGCATTGCAATAATGCACCCCAAAGACAATATAAAGACGCAACCCAAAAAAGCTGCAACAACTCATCATGTATATGATGAAACTAAGCATCATGAATAACGTGCAATGATGTCTCAAAAGTGATGCAACACACACCACAAATACGGTGAAATGAATCGTACCATAAATGGTGCAATGACACCTCACTAGAGCACTAGATTTGTAAATAGATATGAATTGGGTTTTTTTTTTTTTTCTTTGTTCCATATCACTTCAAAATTACCTCCATTTTAACGCAAGAAAAATTAAAAACCTTTTTTTTTGGGCAGGTAAGATGTAATTTAAAATTCAAAATTTAGATATTAGATATATAATTACATTGTACTTTAGTGATGATAAGCTTGTAAATCTCCATTATTTTTTCTAAAATAGTTATCTTACACATTTCGATATCAATTTGATTTTTTTTTATATTTGATCGGGTATTTTTGTAATTCTTTTTCTACCAAATTTGAGTTTCTCCACTTAATTAAAAGAGATGAATAAGAACAGACCGGCTCTCCAATAATTAGCATATTCATCAGAAACAAATGAACAATTTCAAAAAAGGTGCATTTAAACACTCACTTTCTCGTCATGAAAACAAAAATATTACATGAGGGGTGTAAACGAGGCTCGCTTGTGTTCGACTCGTTTGCTCAACGAGCCGAACACGAGCCGTTTACGAACAAATAGTCATTTTTACAACTCTAATCACGTAGCCATCAGATGTTAAGGTTTTGAATAAGATTTAAAACATCATTTGAATCTAATTTAATAATTTTTATTCTATTTTATCCATTAATATTTTAAATTGATTATAAATCTTTATAGCCTTGTAGTCAATTAAATTTAAAAAAAAAAGAAAAACTACTCATCAAAGATATATATATATAATTGATTAATAGTATTTCGAGCCAAAACGAGCCGAACACGAATGAACAAATATTTGTTCATGTTGTTCATATTCAGCTCATTAACTTAGCGAACGAGCCGAACACGAGCTTCTTAACGAGCCGAACATGAGTTGTTCGCGAACAACGAGCCGTTTTGACAGCCCTACATGCATACCCACACAATTCTTATGTATTTACATATCCAACACCTACATTTTGATATTTACAGTGACAATGCATATAAACTTTGCATGTTAGACATATAAATACCAAATGGATAAATACTTGAAAAGCCTTCATCACTCAAACTAGATTAAATTTAGCTTTTATGACAATACATCCCCATTTACAAATATATAAATAAAAATGTTCAAATTACATAGCATACCCAACTAAGTTTAGTTTTACATAAATGCATCAATAATGTATTACACCCACTCCATTTTTATATAAAATTTATTTCAATATGAATCTAAAAATTTAATTTAGAAAATTAATGTTCTAATTTCAAACAAATTATACTTGAATTTTAACTTTTTTTTAAAAAAAGAAGTGCAAACCAACAAAAAATCAGCTTAATGTAGTGGTTGGATCAGGTTCAGCAAGAAGCAGAAATATTACATTACGTTGGGATAAGATAGGTGCGGAAATACCACCACAATATCACCAATTTACACGTATATTATCCACACATAATATTTCCTCGAAAGACGCAGAAATACAGCATGAATTGAGCATTTGTCCAGATCTAAAAAATGCCAGAGCAATTAAAAAACATTGAGCAAATATCAAATTTGGTTAAGTTCACAAAACAGGAGGATTAAAATGATTTATAACCACAAAATCTCTCTCAAATTGGAAAATAGCTGGTCTTTTTAAAGATGAAAAACAAGGCTTAGGAGGTGACAGACCTTAATGAAGATAACTAATTAATCTTCACTTTCTGTGCCTGTCGGTTTCTCTTCTTTGGGCCGGACTTTGCGACTTGGAGGCTTCGACGGACTGCACTGAGCCTGGCAAGAGCTGGCTTCTTCAGATCAGGCCTATAATGGTTGTCTGATACCTGGCAAAACAAACAGGAAATTTTCAGCATTTACTAGGATTCATTTGAAGCTTTTAAAGCCTAGCTGGACAGTAGAAAAAAATATAAACACAAGTTGAAAAATCAGGAAAGAAAATTAAAGATGGTTTCAATGAAAAAAAAAATTATGACTATCTAAAGTTTATCACACAAAACGCAGAGTAATCATAAAATGCTTGAAAGTGTGAATATCAAAGCATTTGTGTTATGTTGTATGAAGCGCAGGCTTAGTTTTAGCATTGTCACCCATTTGTTGCTTTTCTTTTTAGTTATGGAAAATTGCATGGATACCAATCAATTCCTATGTATTTATATATATATATATAGGCAGCATCTCCTACGAATGAAAAGGTGTATTTCACCTTTTAATGAAAGATTTGGGCAGTATAAATGTAAAAATAAAAGTTCAGATGCTAGATATGTAAATACATAGAAGTTGTGAGCTATGTATGTACAAATACAACTCCTGATTTTGATGAGTCTCCAATATTTGAACCCAAAATCACACAACTGACTTGATGGTTTTCCATTCTATCTAGCCATCATGAATTTCTTTAAACTTCCATCTTGATGCTTATTTATCATAATCATATTATTTCAATATAAATATATACTACATAGATTTAATGATAAACTGAAAATATTTTGATGTATTGGATCAGTAAGACTAATTGAAAATGGCAATTACTTGTGAAATGATGGGTCACAAATAGTGATCGTGCTGAAGAAAAAGCAAGACTTAGCAAAGCAAATGACATGCTACAACTTAAAACACAATCTTGTGGGGGGGAAGTGAGCGAGGGTTATTTGCTTCTAAAACTAGAAATTTACAGCATAAAATTTGGGTATTTTGAACGTGAACGCAAGAATTATGTAGAAAATCTTTCAACTATCACTTCTGAAGCTGCATTAAAGATATATAGCTGCAACTCATGTTGAAACAGAGCTTTATCAAGCAGAATTCTTTTCATTCTGATATTTGGAAATGTTTTTGACGTAGATTCAGCTGCGAGTCATATTGAAATGAGTTGAACTGAGATCTATTGATTTAGTAACTAAATAATTTTGTATTTGTTTGGTTGGAATGAGTTTCAACTTTACCCATCCTTACGTCAATTTTAAATCCCTTTAAGATTTATTCTTTTAAACAAAAAAAAAATATACCGTCATTTCAGTAATTTATGGTTAATTTACTATTGTAAAAAGCGAAAAAATAAAAATGACATCCTAGACCTCAAGGTTGAAACTTGTCAACTTTCAGGGTAAGTTTCAAAAAACGAAAATCAACTCAAATCAATTTCAACAAAACAAAAGCTTGAGGGGAAATTTACATAAATACTACAATTCTTATGCATTTACACATCAAACACTCAATTAACTTTGATGTTATAAACTTATGCATGAAAAGGTACATATGTAAATACGTCAGAAAGACCATGATGATGACACTTTTTATGGTATGTTAAAGATTTAAGTGGTATGCACATGAATTTGAATGTTTTGGTGTTACATATGTAAATACGTCAGAATTCTGTTGTTAGAAGCAAAATTCTAGCAGCGAGAACCAATCACTTCCTAACTCATAATGAAACCAATTGGCTCCAAATGAATGTGAAAACAACTTTCTGGACATGGCATCAAAATAAAAAAAAACAAAATAAATACTTATTGCCATAAAATACATGCATTGATAGAAATCTTGGCATGCGGAGCATAAAGATTCACAAAGCTGGCATTTTGCTTACATTATAAACTAAGTAAAACTTGATGAAGAGCAATTACCTAAAAATAACTCGTGAAATAAAAAAGGAAAGGGGGACCGCCATAAAATTGAATTACAAGCAGCTTAATGTATAAAGCCAGAGATCATGTTAATCAAAATGGGGTGCTTAAGCGATTGAAGAAATCTATACCTAAACACAACATTGTTGATCCATATTTAGAACAATAAAGATATATTTTTGATAATTCTTAAGTTGTGCTATTTAATAAAAATACCTAATTTTGGTGTACTAAACTATATAGATTTGAAGTATTTCAAACATGAAGAGTGGGTAACCTTATGATCATATTATCCCAAGGGATAGATCTGATTGTCAACTAACGGGCTTAGTTCCATTGATATGGTCATTAAATTAGTATTCCACATGTACTTATTTAAAAGGGGTGTGTGTGTGTGTGTGTCACTTACTAAGAATCAGTTTGAGATGGCCGTAGCGTTTTACAAAAGCAGTTGTAAAATTGTTGTGGGAAATTGTTGTGGGAAATTGTTGTGGGAAAAATAAAGGTTTTAAAAGGAGTTTTTTTTTTTGTGTGAAAACTTTAGACAACGACTTTTTTACAGCCACCACAATTAAACAAATCTTATTGCAAAAAAAAAAAAGTTTCACACAAACAAAATCTTTAAAATGCAGCAAAAAAATAATAGTCAAACGAAGGTGTAGTGATGATCTGAAAAGCAAAGGAATGAGAATGCTAACCCAAAAGAACCAACAACTAATTAATTTTGACAAATAATTTCATCACAATTACATCTTACTAATTTAAATAATGTGCATGCATAGCATGCTTAGTATACTGATTGTTTACTTGATCTGGTGAATTTTAGATTGGAGATGCTCATCTCTGCTTCATCTTCTCCGGCACAAGGGACTTTTTTTTTAAAATATAAGCAAATTTTATAGCTGATAAATGATTTAAGTACCATAAGTCACTCACAGAGAATTATCAAAAGATATTAAAAAAAAAAAAACAGATAAAGTATGGCTGAGTAAAATCCTTTCGCTAAAAAAGAAAATTAAAAAACACTCACTAGCCATACATTTCTTAAAGCTTTAGTCTGTGTTGCCCAAGTTAAAGAATGTTATAATAATAGTATTTTGTGGGTTACCAAATAATTATTTTATGCTAAAGCAATACCAAGGCTGGAAATAAGATTGGTAAAGCCCTATTAAAATATTTTGAATCCATGAAAAATGGGGATTTTTACTTATTCATGATCGAACTATAAGTACGCTCATAAAAAATTATCTGCGAACCAAGTCACTCTGTCCTATCATCTTTTGAAAAAAGATGTGCATGTGGTTGATATGCCGTCATCAAGTTGTGACACAAAAAGAGGAATCATATTGTCCAAGCACGAAAAAATGCTTGAATTATTTTATTTGAACTTAAATACAATTAGCATTGTCCAAGTGGGAGAATGCAAGAATAATACTAATTTTAGACTACGATAGATGTATTTATAATACATACACAATAAGGTTAAATGTAAAATCGGAAAAACCATACTAAGGATTATTTGGGACAGGTATGCACCCAAGTCCTCCTTTTAAATAAATATGTGAGAGGTTTGCTTTCCTCCATATAAATCTTGAGATAGATATGAGCACATGGATCCTAAATAATCTTTTAATTTCAATGCTAGTCAAAAAAATAATATTAATATATTATTCTAAGAAGGAAACCAACAACTGGATTCAACAAAAATAATCATGGATGATCAAAAGTAATAGGCAGTTGGGTGATATTTAAGGATCCAATGCAAGTTCATTTACCATATAATAATGGTTTGATGAACCTGTAAGTAAAAATATAAAAGATATGCACGGTATAATAAGTTTAGTGATTCAGGTTTATGAATCTTATTCTTAAGAATGTAAAAGACCATTCTTTTTGAGATGAAAGGTATCTTCACAACTCTAAGGATAAAAGTTATCTCTGCTAAGAGGAAATGCAAACCGTCATAAAATAATGCACAAAATTTAAAAATGCACAAGAATTGAAATCACAAAGAGAATTGTTTCACATAACATGACAAGTCGACAGACATCTGCAGGATATTCAAAACGAAATGCAAGAATAAACATAGTAGGAGCTGAAAAAATACATCCACGTTGGAAAATATAATAGTCAGCATTCAAAAAACATTATTTTGACAAATAAATAGTGATTTCTGCATACCAATTATGTAAAAAAAGAGCATGAGGCTTAACTTACAACTCTGTAAGTCGGAGAAAAATTAAAACAAACATAAAATGGTATTAAAACCGCATCAAAGAACAAGCTCAAATAACACTGCTGCTAGCTGTCATGTATATAAAAAGTGCAAAACAGTTAAAAGCTGGGGTTTTTTTGCGACAGGGTATTATATAAAATCAAATAAGAAAAAGCCATTACCTGATTAATGACTGCTTTCGCCACCTTTCGGAATTCTCTCTTCAGAATTGACCTGTGGGAAACAAGACTTGGTTTATTCTGCTTGTTCTTTTTCGTGGTAGAAAGGACAACAGAGAGATCCTTTCCAGCAGGCTGAATGGATACGGTCTTCTTGTTTGCCAAGCCTATAATTATTTTTCAAGTCAACTACTCAGTTTAATATCAAAAGGAGTAAGAAAAGTTCAACTGAGTGCAAGTGTGTTTACTCACCGGAGAACTTAAATGAGTGAACATTATAAAGGTTGTTCTTCTCCTTACTAAACTGCACCTTGGCGTTACCATTACCAAACTGTTTCACGAGAAAGGCATTATTTTTCTTCACAATCTCCCATAGGAGAGGGTCAGGAACAGTGGCCATTGTAGCTGCATGGTCAACAAAAGAGAAGAAAAGAAGTAATTTAAATATGATAGGTAGGTATGGTGCCCATAGGAGAGCGTCAGGAACATTGGACATTGTAGCTGCATGGTTAACAAAAGTGAAGAAAAGAAGTAATTTAAATATGATAGGTAGGTAAGTGCCCACCTGGTTCCATATAGGCGTGTGTGTGTCGATGTTTAGGAAGAAATTATTTCAATAACAGCATGAGAGAAAATTGAGTTAGGAAAATAAATCAATATCACAACAAGAAAATCCACACAAATAGGAGTTTTAATCACTCAAAAGAAACCAAAGTAAGTAACTAATTTCTCCTCCAAGTTATTCAAAATTGTAGCATCTTCAGTGAAGTTGGTGAAATCAAGGTCCAATAGTATCTAAAAAGAAATGCTCGCAATAATTTTGGAAATCTAAAAAAAACAAGACAAGAAATGTAAATCATGACTTCAATAGATACCTCCATTTTAAACAGCTGAAAAATGAAATGAATTTAAATGTTATGATTGATAGTTCTATATTATGAAAGGTCACGAATTCATGTCAAGTAAGATGTAAAAATATAAGGTATCAAGGCATAAATAATTTAAATATTTGAAGCTCAACTATTGATTCTGAGACCCTTATGAATGGTAGGTGTATAATCCCTTTCTGAACTCAAACAAATAGGTTAGCATAAAAAAAGATAACACTATTATTTTGAAGAGGTTGTTTTTTATATAGTGATAATAATTAATCTTTTAAAAATGATCTCTTGACATATGCATCATAAAAGGTACTAAAACTACATGTCGACCTACTAACAACCAAATAATAAATAGGTTAAATAAATTAGTTTTAATATTGATAATTTTGGAATAGAGCTTCCTATAATTTGTTCAGCTTCGCCATCATTAAAAATTATAAAAAATGCAGCTAAATTAAATTTTAGGCATTTATTTCAATAAGGTATAAATCTTAGCCCATAAAAATGAATAATAAAATTTACAAGTTATTATATTAGATTACATTCCACTTTTGTTTCAGAAAATTTCAAGATTTTCCAGAAAATTTACAATAATTTTGATTTATTCATGCCACATGCCATAGATTAGCATTTTCTTTTACTCCAATGATTGAAATTTTTGTGACATAACACATGATCTATAGATAAAGAACCTATTCAATAGTGCTAAGAAGAAAAAAAATAATACTTAAAAAGTTTACTTGATTGATTAAAGATAGGTATATATATAATCTATAACTACAAAATTGTTCATTGAAAATTTTATGGGGATGAGTTTATTTCATATTTTTCATTTGACAGGAAACTATACGATAAACAAAATAAACCATATAACTCAAACTCAAACATACCAATTAATAAATCCTTGATTTTGATATATTAGAATTTATTTATCTAGTTTTTTATGTTATGGTCGATTGCGTCAAACCTGAAATTATAAATATACGTTTTACTTGAGAATCATATGTTCAATTTAATTTTCCTTCATTCATTTGACACACCATTATATTGTTTTTAGCAATTGATGTGCTAAAAATTATGTATCATCCTTTAGTTCTTTATTTATTCCCTTTCTAGTCTAACTAAAAACTCTCATGATATAATGGAGCTATTTTAAACCTACTGCACATTAGTAGAAATTTAAAATACTAAATAACAGTAAATTGTTTATATCATATCATAATCTGACAGCTTTTAAAAGCTTTGTTTGATATTTTTTGTCACTAACTTTGTTTATAGATCTTTTCATGTCTTCAATAATTAAGAGTAATACAAGAATATGTGTCTAAATAATTCATATGTTGTAAAATCATAATTTAGGAAATATCAGCAAACCATACCCAAACAGCACAATTAACAGTGTCACTTGATTTTAATAAATTAGACTCATGTCTTCAATAATTAAGGTATTAAATTATTGGGGCAATTACATACGCGCCGCACAATTCTCATGCATTTCAATATCTAACAAAACATTCATATTTACAAGCATACCACTCAAATTTGTAACATCACATCAAAAATACCATTGTCAATGCATTTTTTAAAATGAAATACATATTTTCATGCATAGTTTATGACATCAAAGTGTTATAAGCGTCAATATCAAACTTCAGGTGTTTAGAAATATAAATACATAATAATTGTGTAATAAGTATTTAAACTCCCCAAAAGTATATTAAACTTTGCATGTTTCAGATCAGCTTGTGATACAGGAACCTTTATTCCCCTACAAGAATACATCAGCATGTGATAAAGTAACATTATAAATACAATGCTCAAGACTCCTGAAAGGGAACCGAGACCAAAAACTGGTTACAAAAATCTAGAATCTACATATGCAAGCATATAATTTCACCATGACCCTAGTATATTTGTATAACTACAAAGCAGTTATATGCGATAACAGCACGAAGCAAACTAGTTTAAGAAAACAAATCAAAATCAAAACAACAAAAAATATAAGAAAGTAGGATTTTTGGTATTTCTAGGAAAATTAAAATCACGGATTAAAGACATTTGGAACATGAAATAATCAGAATACCTAAGATCAAGCGACTAATTCGCTTCCAAACTATTCAATACAAGTACCATCTTCGGTAAAGCTAGTTTAGATCTAAATCTTATGATATCTAAGGCGGAAAAAAAAAACCAATTTTCTAGGAAGTCAACTTGCTGGGAAGACAAAAAAAAAATGTAAATCGACGATAAGTAAAAAAGAGAGCAGGAGAATTTGATAGGATGCAGACGGAAAAACATAAGAATAAGGAATAAAATGCAAGAAAAATTGGGAGAACTTATACCTAAGGAAAGACGAAGAGGTTTCCGCTCGGCTCTGTTCCTCCCGTTCAACGAGCTCGCACAGAACGGCGGAATGACGAAGCTCACATTCTTATGGCAACCTAAAACCCTAAAAACGAGATGCAATGACTTAAATGCCCCTTATTCCTTTTATCGGACGAATCTTATTCCTTCTGAGTTTTGATGCACGAAATATGAATATAATTAAATTAAGAAAAATTTATATATATAATCATATAATTTTTATGTATTTATTGATTTAATATCTAAAATTTAATATTTTTAATGTTAAAAATTTATGCATATTTACTCTACTTTAAAAAAATAATAGTGATATATTTTACATCATACAAATAAATTTAGTGATATTTATGTAAATAAGAAAAATTATATGTTTGATATCTAAATGTATAAGAATTAAGTATTTTCCCACTGCCCATTATATATATATATATATATATATATATATATCCGTGTACTCAGATCAGTTGGTCGTGCATCTGCCTGTAAATTGTAATTCTCCTCTAATCCAAAAATGTTTCATTAATTTGTGATCTCATTCTCTTTTTTTTTTAATGGGAAACTTGTTCATATTGAAAAATTATTGCAAACGGACACCGCATGAAGAGATACATGTCGTGTCCAATCTACACCGTAGATCACGGTGATGATGTATTTCGGTGGACCCCACTTTAACTTTTTTTATTTTTTTTATTTTTTAAAATTTTTGATTGACACCACATGCATCTCTGCATGCGGTGTCCGTATGCAATAATTTTTCGTTCATATTAGACATTGTTTATCCATAAAAATAAAATGAAAATTCAACAAAAGTAAAAGTTTAATGTTCAAATAATTTATGAACTTTGAATTAAAAGATACATAAAGAGGAATCTGGAAGCTTACTAGCTTTTTTTTTTTTTTAAATTGAGATCCAATGTATATTTTCTATCAAAAGCATAAGCTCCTCACAAATGCTATTACAAGCCAAGTATATTTTGTCCATTTTATGGAGAATCAACACGAGCTTCATTTACTTTTTTAACTCAAAGCCTATTGATCCCATTCTCAACTCTGATGTGGATCTTACTAATGACAATCTGATTCATCTTACTAGTCACACTCTCAACTCTAAGGCTAAGCTGACTAAGAGAATCAACTGAAGCTCCACTCACTTTTTTACTCAAATCCTGTCAATCCCACTCTCAACCCTAAGATCACATTACTTGCCATGGAAAACTGAAAAGGTTTTTGACTGCAAGCTAGTGTGGAGCTCACTTGAGATATTCCTCTTTTCTTTGTTTTCTATGTTTCACAGTTGGACTTTAAATTGATTTCAATCAGTAAGTTGCTTATGATATGAAATGTATATCCAAATTCAATACAAACTTTTGTGAATTTCAAGTGGCAGGGTCAGAGAAGGTGATTGACAATGCTGAAATACATCAATGCTTACATCTGCTCAAGGAAAGTTTCTTTCTAAACACACAAATGATCTCTCCTACATATTTACCTTAAGTTTCTGAGTCTGTTGAGTCCATGTCTGTTGAAAATCAGGACTTTTATGGCAGTCTCCTAGGTCATCCTAATTTCAATTATGTTGCTAAATTGTATCCTCATTTGTTTATCAATAAAAAACAGTTTCTATCAATGTGAGATTTGTCAAATTGTTAAACACACTACAAATAGTTATCCCAAGGCCCGGTACAAACCCTCACACCTTTTTGTCATTATCTATGGTGATATTTGAGAACATTTAAAGGTGAAAGCCCTCACACCTTTCTTGTGAATGCTACAACAAAAAGGGGTATATAACTTATGAGAAGCTATCCACATCCTACAAAGCTTTTATTTCAAACCTTAATAGTATGTAGAATCCTAAATTCATTCATGAAGCTCTTGAAAATCCAAAATAGAGAAAAATTATTGAAGACGAGATTCGAGCACTGAAGCATAATGACACATGGATTCTTACTAAACTCCCTCAAGATAAGAAGCTAGTTGGGTGCAAATAGGTGTTCAACGTCAAATACAAAATTGATGGGGGTCTTGAGAGATTCAAAACCAGACTTCTTGCAAAAGATTTCACTCAAGCCTATGAGATTGACTATCATGAGAACTATGCAGCAGTTGCCAAACTTAACACTGAAAGTGTTCTCCTTTCAGTACTAATGAACAAGAAATAGAAACTGCATCAACTTGACATAAAAAATATCTTCCTAAATGAGGATATGAAAGTTTATATAAAGATACCACCAAGACTTGAGAATCATTCCAACAAGCACCTAGTACGCAAACTCAAAAAGTTTTTCTATGCTCTTAACCAATCACCAAGAGTGTGGTTTGAAAAGTTTATTAAAACCATAAGATCTAATGAGTCTTCTCAATGTCAACCTGATCATATTCTACTTGTAAAACATACCTAGAGAGATCATATTACTAAATTGATAATATATGTGGATATAATTTTTACTGATGTGATGAAAGGGAGATTCTTAAGATCAAAGAAATGTTTCTCATTAAGTTTGAAATAAGTACCTAGAAACCATAAGATATTTTCTAGGTATGGAGGACACAAGGTCCAAGAAAGACATCGTTCTATCACAGAGAAAAAACATCCAAGATCTACTAAAAGAGACATGGATAATTGGATGCAAGCCCGCTAATACTCCAATGAATCCCAACCAGAAGTCAAACAGGTGAGAAAAAAGTGTCTTTGTGGATAAGGGAAGATATCAAAGATTGATAGAAAAACTCATTTACCTATCAACATTATAAGCTAACACATGAATAACCCAAATGAAGAGCATTTGGAGATGGTGTACATGATTTTGAGGGTTTTTAAGAAAACTCTTGGCTATGGATTAATTTTTGAGAAAACTGGAGACAGAGGTAAAAATCCACACTAATACAAGTTGGGTTGAAGAACTTAGTGATAGAAGGTCCCACCATGTTATTGCTCCTATGTATAAAAAAATCTGATTATATGGAGAAGCAAGAAGATGTTTCTATAAGGCGTGTTGAATCAGTTTATAAGGCTCTCGCCTTAGGAATTTGTGAAAGGATTTGGATTAAAAAATTGTTAAAGGAATTAGGGTGTACATTCAATAGGTCTGTATAGATATTTTGTGATAGTCGTACAGCTATTAGAATTGCTAAGAATCTTGTGATCATGACAGGACCGAGCATATTGAAGTTGATAGGAACTTCATCTCTGAAAAGATTAATAGATGAATTATACAACTAAGCTTCATCTCGACACACCAACATGTTGTTGAGATCTTCATCAAAACACATCCTTTAAGCACCTTCTCAGAGTTCAATCCCAAGCTTGGTCTCTACAACATTACGACCAAGCTTAAAAAGGGAGTTTGGAAAACTGATAAGGCTTTCGGTTTGCACACTAGGGTGGATCGGCCAGCTACCATAGAAATCATGGAGAATTTGATTGGGGACTACTTTGGAAACCCCTTGATTAGTTTTGTTCCCTTCCTAATTTGTTTCTTTTTTTTATTTCAAATTTATTTCATTTCCTAATTTAAATTAGATATTTTTGGTAACTTTATAAATTAGGAGGGACTTTTTTCCCTATGTATGTATGTACCCTACATGTAAATAATAAAATTAAGGATTATTCCTCTCCAATCCTATTTTCAACACTTACCAATGGAGAGGATGATCTTCTTTACCTCTTCTCCAAATCAAAGGTAAGAGGAATGTCAATCACATTAAAAAACTCTTCACTCCTAATGACTCCTTTACATCTCATTTTAATATTTCCCAGGCATCTATTACTAATTTCAAAGAGCTCTTGAACAGAAAAAATTTGCTTCCCCAACAATCTTTCTTATGGAAACACGCTCTATCAACCACAAGAACATGCTTGTTATGCCTATTATAGATGTGGAGGTTAAATTTGTTATCATTCAATCCCCTAAAAACTCCTCCCCCAATTTTGGGGTTCCCTGTTAAGTTATTTATCAATTGATAGGATGTGGTTGCAATCATGTCACTGTTACTAATAGATGTTTCTAGTGTAATAAAAAGATGCACAGGAATGTTAAGGCTACTTCTCTCACCAAAATTCAAAAGACCTCTCATGCAAAATGATATCTCTGATTGCAAGTCTATATCTTTATATAATTGCGTTTGTATTTTAATTATCAAGATCTTGGCTAATCATTTAAAAACCAAAGATATTTTTATTAGCAGCATAAGCATCACCTGTCACATTATTTTAGTTAATGAGATCTTGATTGGCTCAAAAAAACAAAAAGAAAATCAAACTGTTTCTATAACAAATGTGATATTTAAAAACCATCTAATATATTAACAAGAACTTCGTGCTATCAAAAGATAATTGGACAAGATTTTGTCTCCCATTATCATCTTATATCAGGGCTTCTAATATTAACTTCTCTGTTATTATTAATGGGAATCTTCAAAGCTTCTTCCCATCATCCAATGGTTTCCATCAAGTCTACCCCTTATCTCCATAACGTCATGCATTGTTACGACTAACTCATTTTTGGGACAATTTCTCCAATCTCTATGAGCTTTGCAACAACCCTCAAAAGAGTAGCAGCAGCTTTTCCAAAAACAAAACAAACCCTAACATCCTTAGTTCTATCATGGTCTTCAACATCATCTATCATTGACTTCTAACCTTCTACCTTTAGCCTTCAATACTAAAATCTACATCTTGAAGAATGGGAAACCAAGGCCCTCTGTTTTGCAGGACACCTACAACTGTTGAAATGCTCCATCTTAATTAAATATTTATTAGATCAGAGCCTCGTGCATAGTGAACATGATTGATATCATCCATTTTAGATTCATCTACGATAGAGATCCGAGTTCTAAGGAAATTCACTTAATTTTCTGGGCAAGACTTTCCCCATAAATCTAAAGGTATTCGAACATCTAACAATATTTTAAGCCTAACTAGTAAAAGGCTAAGACCATCTGTAATCTTCTCAACTATGACAATTATTTAGAGTCCGTTTGGCGAGGCTTCCTCCGCGTGGTGCGGCGGGAGGCCGCCAAAAATTACTGGTTGGCAGGGCGCCTTAATCGCGGCTGCCGTGAATCCGGGCGAAAAGCCTACTCCCGTACCCCTAATTTCTCCCGCCTTCTTTAGCTGCATCTATGTGATTGTAGAGGATGAAAGACGGAGAACGATAATTTCAGGGCGGAGGTTTCACCCTGGTTTTCTTATATTTTGGCGAAGATGGTATTATGGGACATTACGGCGGCAACGACTTATTTCTTGGGGCTAAAGCGGACCTGCAGGATCGCTCTCAGAATCCAGAAGAGGATCGTCCGCCCAAACAACCCCAGGATCAGGCAATTTCTCCACAGGTACCCTGTCTCTTCATATTCCTCCTCATTCTGCTCGTTGTTTTAGGGTTTGCGGGAGGACATCCTTTGCTGTGTTGAGGATGGTGAGGAATGTCAGAAATTAGGTGTGGTAAAATTGATGATCTAGAATCAAATGGCCTTGGAACAAGCAGGAAATCTGAAAGAAAAAAAAAAAAAAGGAAAGAAAAAAAAATAAGAGAGAAACTTGAATAAAATTTGGTAAATTAGAATTTCGGTGTGCTACAGTTTGGTTAAAATTAAGATCACTGCAAAGCCAATATTAAATTAAGTAAATGAATAGCACAAGGAATGAAATTTACAAAATAAAAAAGAACAAAAAAAATCGGTCACATGTTCATACAATTGGCTTCCCTTGAAATCAAATAGCTCTCTTTTTCTTCATTAAAATGCTCTGAAAACTAACATATGTGCTCATTCAACACTCAAATGCCAAACCTTCCCTGGTTCTTACCTTTGAGCTAATAAAAAACGTGCATTTACATACATGCTACCCAATTCCCATGTATTTACGTTCATAACACCTAAAATTTACTTTTACATTTATACCACCCAAATCATTAGATACATGCCACCTAATTCCTATATATTTGCATACTGCTCAATTCCTATATATTTACCTAACACCTAAACTTCAATTTATATATACATCCCACCTTTCCTAGGCAGAAGAAGCTTTATTTCAATCTTTCATAAAGTCAAAATAGTTATCTTTTTAAGCCTAAAACGATAATTCATTGTTAAGTTATTTCTCTTTTGGGGGCATTTTTGTTCTATCTGACGTGTTTAGCAGTTTAAAAGATGCACCATCCCAAAGATGAATTATGGTTGCAATTTATGAGTTCTCAAAAAAAATAAAGATGTATGGACTTAGTAAAAAATGTATATTGAATATTTTGTAGTTTTATGTTTGTAAATGCCTCAAAAAATTGATATGACATGCTTCAGAAGTATCAAAAATATTGCTATCACAGTTCTGTTTTAAACAGTTTTACCAAACAAGGGCAGCATGGTCATTTTTTCAAAAATAGTTGCCTCAAAGCTATTTTCACACGGTCACACAGCTGCACCAAACAGACAACTTTCCATAAACGGCTGCCTCACAGCAGTTTTCTAGGGCAGCGCAGCTGCAGCTGATAAGCTGAGAAGCTGCAGCTGCGCCAAACAGAGCCTTAAACTCATATTAGAAGAGCTCATACGGCAGTATTTGGCTCATGCCTTCTACTCAATACTATCCATTTTGGAAAGGGATCGCCATTATTCCTTATAAGAAACAATTCATTTCTTCTGTAATTGGCAATGGCTATTTTTTCTCCATTTTTACTCGAGTCTATGGGAAAACACTAATAGATTTTTTGGCAAGAATGCTGAGCTTGATATTCCGCATGTAATCAATGCTTCTCGATCTAAACGTAAATGTAACAACTCTAGGAATCTCAAAAAAAACAAATCCTCTATTTACAGCATTATTTATGGCAATGTTACAAGTATTATTATCACATGGGTGAGGATGCCATTTTATGGAAAGAGAAGCCTAATCCAACCTTTCATGACATCAAAGAAGCATTCAACTCTCAATATCCTAATGAGTGTTGGGCTAAGTGGAATTGGCATGAGCATTATTCAATAAAATTCCTGGCCATTGGTTGGTTAGCCTTGAAATGTGGATTAAAAACTGTTGTTGAGCTATAAAAAAGGAAGCTATCGATTAACCCATATGCTATTTACACTCCATTGGAAGTTAAATTATCAAAAAACTTATGTTTAGTTGCTTATTTACCGAACATCATACGCCCATCTTTGTCTCATATACAATATCCAGAAGGAAAGAAATGACAAATTTTTTTGTGATATTATCTCCAAATCCACTACTCTACATCTAGAATAAGCATCATATGATGCAAGGGGATGTAAGATATTCTTCATTCTGGTTCGTTTAAAACTATTTTAATCATTCCAGCTTGTCCAAGATAATTTTTCTCCACTGGCTTTTGATGTTTCTCATCATTCTGATTATCTAAAACTCTTTCCGAACGCTGCATTCACCGGTCAGGTCAAACAAGTTCCTAAGCCCCAAAGTATAATTTAAATCAATATAAAGTTAATTGTTTGAATCCAACAAGCTGGAGTTCAATTTCAATCCATCTAGTCCACTTCGCTATATAAATTGATTTTCATCATCTCCGAAAGAAAATAGTTTACTTAGATTAATGCTAACATGAAATAAAATTAGAGAGAAACAATGGCAATAAAAGGACTAAGATGGAATTCATTGTAATAAATTGTATAAAATAACCCCTCCATGGCTCTACAGCATAAATGGCATAACTTCAATGAAGGAAAATTATTAACATATATATATAGATAGACAGATAATTTATATAATTTATACAAAACTCTCAGATAGAATCATTTTTATGCATAGCAAATTCTCAAATATGAAAAAAATAGCTGCAAGTTAAATATGATTTGATTGTGATGATTGTATAAAACTAAAACATGAAAAAAAACCTAAACGAATTTTTTTAAAAACATCAATGATAATAAAATTATTTTGAACGAGGAAAGAAAGTTAGAAGAATTTCAATGAAAAAATTATAAAAAATAACAAAATCTTCTCAATTTTTTTTTCATAAATATCAACCAACTTGCCAAAAGCAATGGATACTTCATCACATGAAATGTTTACCTCATTGTCCAAGGAGTCAGGCGCTTATAATTGTGGTGTGGGGATGACCATCTTTCATTTTTTTGTATAATCCCTGTTCTCCTTATCCTTGACATCCTTCCTTTTTTTTTAACTTTTGCTTCTTCTCTTGGAAATGAATATGTTTTCTTTTAAAATTTTCTTCTCCTCCTCACTTATATTACAACCAATACTACAAACCTATAGGATAAAGCATGCAAATTTTCTTTATCAATATTAATGTGTGAAGAATAATAGAAATCATTCCATAATAAAGCTTGACAAAAAATAAAAAAATCTCTACATCATTTAATTCAATATCATTAATAGAATATAAAAAGTCTTTTAAAACTATATATCATACCTTAAAATTCATCTCTTGAAATATTAAAAATCTATTTTCTCAAATATCAAAATTTAATCTATCAAAAAATGGAGGTACTGGTACATAAATTCAATAACCCAAAAAAATTCCACTATATGTACCATGCGAATCTTTTAAATCTCAAATTATGAAGCCTTATAATTAATAGTACTGGCTCTAATATTAATTGTGGAATGAAAGCCAAAAAAGGGAGGAGAATAGGGTACGCAATGGGCCATTTTAAAAATATTTCAAAATCTAACAATTCAAAACACTCTCACTAAAACACTTAGGGCTTGCTTGAAATAACTATTTTATTTTAAAAAAAATAGAATAATGAGGAATTAAAAGATGCTTGGTTGTTCTTTTTACTTTTTTGTTTTTTTGAAGTGAAACAAATTATTTTTAAAAATACTCAAAATAAAATTTAAAAGTGTCCTCTTTTTTTTTAAAAACATTTTTTCCTCTCAACCCCAGCCACATTACAATGCATAAGATTGAGAGGGTTATAATTGCCATAGAAAAGTAATTGACTGGCTAATGAATAAAACTAAAGCCACCACTGGTGAGCTCATCTAGGCTTCCAACGACTTTTTGAGCAGAGGGGGGCCCTTCAATCCAATAACTAAACTTGAGCTCATCCATAAATGGAGTCCATCATGCTTCAAATGCATCCTATGGTTACCTTATTTAGGTCCTCTCCCCTTTGTCTTTGAGGACATAGTAGAGCTTGTTCTCCCAAAATAAAAACAAAATAAAAGGAACTTTTGTTCAAGGTACCTAACATATTTTAGTTCACATCAAAACATTTTTAAAAAAATTCAAAAACAAAAAAGGTAATCTCAGCCAATCTCTTAAAGGAAGCTAATAAATAGTGTAATCTAAGATGCAATATAAGTTATAGATGAAACAATTAAACCACAACTCTAATTACAAAAACTATGTATATAAATATAAGAGAAATAAGACATGGTAAGAGTGAATGAACTGATACTAAGAGTGTCACTGGTATAACCACAATCTTAATATTGTGAGACTCAAAATTATTACATTATATACACTTTTAGTCCATTTATTCAATCTTACAAAAGCCACCAGACATTTTTAACTTATGGTGTAAGATAAATAAACAGGCTAGTGAGTGAGTTAAGACAAATGAAAGCAATTATAAAATAAAGTACTCAACTACACTTACATAAAACAATTTAACTAATACCTTCAGTCACACAAGTCTACAAATCCAAACACAATAATGTAGTGCTGTTCAAGAAGATTATGCTACACATTGAGAGCATGCAATCTTAATTACAATATTAAATGTTATCCACAATATTACCAAAAAATTATTTCAATAATCAGCAAATTAAAAAAAATCTAACAAATGCAATGATTAGCTAAATAGATAAATAGTATGCTAATATGTTTAGATAGAGAATGATTCAATTACGTACAAACGAAAATATTTAGCCAATCAGAGGAGGTAAGATATAATTTTATTATCATTGTCTTCAATATATATATAAATATGAAAGTTCAGGTGTGAGATACGTAAATGCATACGAGTTGTGTGCTATCTATGTAAATTTTCCACTATTGTATTATTGTTGTAAAAGAATAAAAGCCATTACAACTTCCTAAAAACATTTCTTCTCCTTAACTTTGGCTGCATATAGCCTACTCAATGCTGGGATTCAGCACTCCAACATGAATTGTGAGTTCTAATATTCATTTTTTTAATAATGAAAGGGGAAGGAAAAAAAAACAGATAAACGGCAGTAAAAGCATCCATCCAATAGTCACCGGCAAAGAGAAATGACCTGCTCCAAACTTAGCTGGAAGCTACAATACCTGCAAACAACAAAAACCACGTTAACATCATCACTATAAGAAAGATCTAACCTCAATTTTATTTCATGTATTTATTTAACATTTTTATGAATGTTAATCTCAATCCTATTCGATTATTCTCATTCGATCAGAAACACTCTCCCTAAAACAGAAATAAACATCAGAAAGTTTCAATTATTTTGATTTATATGAAAGGTGAATGCCATTGCATTTCATTAAATGAAAAGATACAAACATGTAAGAGTAAGAAGTCCTAAATCATCATTAGACATCTAGCTACAACTGCAAGTAATGAGAAATAAGCATACATTTCCAGCTGAAACCGTGCAAAATTTAAATTTGCATAGAACATTTCTTTTGAGAATGACCAAGAAGATGGCAGCGGCCACATTGTACAATCTTCTTTGGTCTCTTTAAACTTTCCATTCGAAGAACTTTCTTTTTAGGGCGACCAGGCGGACGACGTGTTTTAGGGGGATGAATAATGACATCGGCCTTATGATTGCCGCCTTCAACGCCCTCCCCAAACTCATTCCAGAGGGCTTTCTCTGGTAGTGGATATATATTCTGCGAGTAGGCTTCAAGGTATTTGTTGACGCTAAAACACTCTTGAGCATAATGGCGGACATCTTCACCGCAGGATAGGAGAGCCGCGGCGGCATGCGCACACGGTATACCGTAGATTTGCCAGCGCCGGCACGAACAACACCGTCTTTGTATGTCGACTATATTCGTTCGCTCAGATGACACGATTTCAAACTCTACTTTATTCGCTCGGAGAACTTGGTAGCAATGGGAGTCAGCAATAGCTTCTAAAATAACCTTCTCAGCCGATGGAACGAGAATTGAAGGCCATGATGAACCTAGAGTCTGACGCTCTACAAACCAAATTGTTAATTGATTACGAATATGCTCCATCATTTGTACTATTGGCAAATCATGTCCTTCAAGGGACCAATTGTACAAAACTTCAGTAATCCCTAAAGTTAAATGGCCATACCGAACTCCCTCAAAGTATGCAACGGCCCAAAGATTAGGAGGGAATTGATGAAACCATGGCATGACATCTTGAACATCCATCATCTCAGACACCTTTGCTTCGAATTCAGCAGTTGTGAGAGAATAAACAGCATTCCAAAAGAGGTTAACAAGTTTTGTGTTTTTAAACTCTTCACGGAAGCTCTCGCTGACAAAACGCAGGCAGAATCCATGAAATGCGCTGGGAAAATGGGTTTCTACTGCCTCCACAATTGAAGGATGTCTTTCGGACAGTATTGTAAGGACTGGCATCTTGTCTGTATTGACTCCAAGAAGCTTTCTCAGCTCTGACAGAAACCACATCCAGTTTTCATCACTCTCCACATCGACTATGGCGAAAGCAAGAGGAAACAGAGTATCGTCGGCATCTATGGCTGAAGCGCAGAACAAAGTCCCGAGATACTTTCCTTTGAGGTGCGCCCTATCTAGTTCAAGAAGTGGTCTGCAGGCATGCAAAAAACCATATACTGATGCGCGATATGAGATAAAGAGGCGATGGAAGCAATTGTCTTGACCTGTTGCATAAACTAACGCAATACTTCCTGGATTTGTTTTTAGTATCTGGTCGCAGTATGCGGGAAGAAGACGATAACCATCCTCAAAAGTACCATGAACAGCGGCGAGACTACGTTCCTTCCCCCGCCATGCTTGCATGTAAGAAACTGCTACACCATGCTCCTCACGTATGTCCTGCAGTATTTCCTTGGGTTTATACTGTGGATTATCTCTAACCCTAGCTTCCACGGATCTAGCAACCCAACCAACAGTTGCTTGCTGATGATGAAAGTTGTGCACGCCTTCACAAGTATGCTCTGCATGTAATGTTCTTATGGAGAAAGTAGGACCGCCATTACACTTGGCCACATGAATCCTCCATGGACATCCTTCTTTGGCGCACTTAGCGATGAATCTGCTGCGATCAGATTTCACAATACGAAGATCAAAATGACGGGCAATTGCGATATCTTTTAGTGCCCTTCTGCAAGTTTCGACATCAGGGAACTCCTGCCCAACAGCAAGAGAATGGTCTGCGGGAACTAAGCTATGTTCCTGAACTACCACTGAATTTCCGCACATTAATTCCTGAACTGCCAGTGAGCTATTGTTCATCAGTTCGTGGACTACCAAGGCATTCTCTGCCATTAGACCACTAAACAAATCAGGCCTGTCCTTTTCCTTCATCGAGCCAGGAAAACAAAAATCTTCAGATAAACAATCCAAAAATCCTATCAAAAACAGTATGATCGTAACTTAGGGCTCCAATCTCCATTCAAAGTCAACTCATTTGCGAAAATCAAACCTCTCAGCTCACAGAAACACTGAAAAGTTCATTGTGAAGATGCGAAGCAGTCAAATTGAGCTCAGTGATGCAATGCAATAATAATTGCTGGAAAAAAAAAACTGTAATTAACAGCGTCCTTCAGTCACTGGTCACCTCTGAAGGTAAATAAAACATTCTCAAGAAAAAAAAAGAAGTTTTTTTTTTTTAATTTTCAAAAATATAGAGCTGCTAGTCCACAAACTCATGGTTTCTTATCTGTGCAATCCCTAAAAAAATAGCTACACAGCCTAAAAAATAATCACAGTCAGAATTTAAAAAGTCGGCTTTGAGCAATTCTTGATTCAAAAGAACCCTAACGATAACTAATCCGCACCACACGATGCAAAATTGAGCGCCGTTAAAGCTAGCGCAAATGAGGAGCCAAACAATTTCCCAATGAAAGGGGCTTGAAGTGGAAAATAACGCAAGAATCCGGCAAGAACCTCCATTAAAAAAATAAAATAAAATAAAAAAAAAAGATCAAACTATAAAGCTGGAGCGGGAATGGTGGCCGAATTCGAAACAGAAATGAAATACGAAAAGGGAAGGTTTTGGAAGATACCCAGTTTCGGAATCCAATTGATAGAAAAATGCCGAAATTGGATGGAGAACCTCGAAGATATCGAGGGATCGGCCTGATCGCATTTCGGTGAGTAGGAAATATGGGGTAGGGGAGACTGATGAACCAGACGGGTAAAAACCTTTTTATTTCGCACACAGAAATATTTGGGTGTAGGTTATTGGGAGATTATATTTGTATTATATCTTTTATAATCTCTACGTAAATTATATGTAATCTATGTGTAATTAGTAAGTTTCACGCTTCTGTTTTCGTATATTTATAAGTTACATGTAGGTTACAGAGATGTTACAAGGGGTATAACGTGCATATAACCCTCCAATACCCTCCATGTAACCTACTGAGATACGCGGCTCTACGTACGTTAGACATACACAAATATTTCTCGACATAGGGAGGCTGTTTAATAGCATGTTATGAAAGGTATTTATGGATGAATATAACTAAAATCCAATTAAACAAAAAATAATAAATCTGATTTAGTGTCGGATTTAAACAATTTATTTCGTCATCAATTACATTCAACTCCGTGAAAGTTTCGTGGAAGGATTTATTGAATTTGATAAACCCTATTTAACGTTAATCTTAATTTTATTTTGCTATATAATTTAAGGGGAAGAATTATTACTATAATAAGTTCTTTAAACAAATTATTTATGTATTTTAGTTATAAATCTATAATGGTTATAAAAAAATTCAACTTTATAAGATGTCCTTGAACTCCAAGGTAAGGAGCATTGATACATGAAATATGCATGTCTCATTTTTTTATAAAATAATTTCACCATCTAAAATAAAAAAACAACATCATGATTCTCTTTAATTATAAGAAAAACTTTTTATTACACATTAAATATATAGTATGACTTTCTTTATAATTAAAGATGAACAAACTAAAATAACCTTCGTTCGGGTCTGTTTGGCGCGGCTGCAGCTTCTCAGCTTTTCAGCTGCAGCTGCGCTGTCCCAGGAAGCAGCTGTGAGGAAGCTGTTGCGGGGAAGCTGATTGTCTGTTTGGTGCAGCTGCGTGAAACCAGCTGTCAGACAGCTGTTTATGAAAAAAGACAATAATACCCCTGTTTTGTAAAATTGTTTAAAAGAATAATATAACAACCATCTGTTTATGAATAAGAACTTTGTATTTACATATCTAACACAAACTGAAAAAAAGACCAATATGCAACACAATCTTATGTATTTACATATCTAATACATAAATTTTGAAGTTTTATGAATATTTGCATAGCTCCCAAAGATACAGCACATCATCTACAGATAAATAATTCTTGGGGCAGCAATAAGAAGTATGTCCTGTCGAATAAGATTTATGAATTTATGGAACTTATGGAACTTATGGAACTTTATTCAACATCAGAGTTCTGGCAAAAGCAACCTTTTCTCCACTAACCGCAAAGAAAGTTATGGCGGCGTTTATGGAACCAAATATTATTTCAAACCATGACATTCATTTTATACCTGGCTCATGAGAATTCACACAATGTCCTCGTTGAGTTCTAGTTAAGTTCCAAAATCATCACATTCTTATTGTAAATCAGAAAAAATTACAAGTGTAAGGCTGAACTCGCCTAAACCACCTGCAACAAGTAAAATTGAATGATTCTTTCAGTAATATCAGAGTTAACAGATAAATTTCATATAAAAAAAGATAACATTTACCTACACACACAAAAATTCCGATGTATTTACATATCTAACACCAAAACTTGCATTTTTATGGTTTTAAAACTCAAATCTTTCCTATCACATAAAAAATACCACTACTACTAACTTCTAAAAGATGAAATGCACCTTTTCATGCATAGATAGATAAAGTTCTATAAAGATAATAGTCAAAACTTACATGTCAGATATGTAAATACATAAGCATTGTGTGATATGCATGTAAATCTTCCAAAATACAAACACAAATTAACAGAAACCAAAGTGCTGAGAACAGGTAAGCCCAAATCGCAAACAAAAATCTGATGATGGCCATTGTTCATCCTAAGAACAGATTAGAATCCAGAAGTAATCCTTCTTTTTTATTTTAATCCATGGGAAGCCTTTTGTCGACTTCGATTAAATCTATCTAACACAAGTTAAGAAACATTATTTGTGCATATAAGCAGAGAATGGAGGTCAGGTCTCAAAACAGACCATAACTATGCCAAAATTAAAAAAAAAACATTACAATCTGGAAGATGTACATACAAACCACTCAAATATATAAATACATAGGAATTGGAAATTATGCATGTAAATGTCCCTAAAATCTTCGTGTTTGCCAGGAAAAACAACAGGAAGTGTAAACTTTAAAATTTCAAATGCATCTTTAATATGAAGTTGTATAGAAAGTAATATTTAGATTTCATTTTATCAATTTCATTGTCCCAACAACGCAGGTGGATGAACTCTGTCTCAACATACATGGCACATAAGAATTACTTTTCATCTCAAATTCTTCATTCATAGGCCTACTATCTCAACAGTAATTCGTTCCCTCAGCTCTGCCATCTCGCTTGCACCTTCCCCATCAATAGTGAAGGCAATGGAAGCCTCGATCTCTTCTTCTGTGACAGAC